GTTCTTTACCTCCATCAAATGTTCATCATTTGAAATGTTTAGTGAGAGTCGGAGATTTGTCAATAATGCTTCTTGTTCCCAACTTAAGGGCCCAGAAGCGAACAATGCCTCTAGGGTACTGCGATATGCATGCAATTCTAATCTATGTATTCTTGCTGCAACATCCTCTTCTAAAGGAGAAGTGCACTTTTCTTCATCTCCACAGCCATAAAAAGAGTCAGCATCACTACTAAGGGTATCTACATCTGCACTAGAACCTGCTAAAATTCGACTAGACATCATACTCTGATTGTAACTACCAACACTACAACTACCAACAGAGCATGCATCACTATCAGAATCATTAGCTTCTGAGCTTCCTGCACGAAGATACTCAACAACAAAATTTGACTGTCTTCTCTCCATTTCACAATATCCATTTGAGTGTTTTTTAGAGGAAGCATGCATGTATATTTTACCCAAACTTTCTCTTGGGCAAGCAACAGCATCTACCTTTTTCAGTACGGAGGAAGGATATCCTGACATTACTCGTCGGCTCAAACTCTCCCTATCAATTACTATCACTTTACGAGAATTTCCACAAGCTTCAGCACGAGAGGAGCCAAAAGGTGAAACCCTCTTTAATGTTCGAGCAGATACAACATTAGTCTCCAGACAACCATCATTGTTCTGAACAGCCGAATAACTATCTCCTGGTTCAACTGCTTGCCAGCCTTGATCATAATTCGGAATCAATTTTTTAATAGACTTCCCAAATCCAGCTTCACGATCCTGAAAACAATGTCAATATAAGTCAGTCAAGAAACAGTGTACAGGGAAAATCAAGGCACATGCTAATATTTTCCTGGATGCACATATCAAACTTAGGAGTAGTTTAGAATAAATTTTTTTTGAAATAAAAATTGTAGTTTAAAATAAAGAACATGGAATGTGAACTTGCTTCCAAGGGAATACTATGGAATCCATTTGAAACTGAATTTCTATACTTGAAATAAAGCATATATTTACTAAAATTCAATTGAACTATTATGTTTGAAACAAATTCGTTTCAAGTTTAATTTCTGTTTGCACAAAAATAGTCCTCATATCCTTAATAATATATTTCATTGAATTCGCAGTTATTTTAATTTTCAATTCTACTTGTTAAATTACACAAATTGGTTTTCAGCAAATAAATCTTTCAAGTGTATGTGTACATATGCACATCTGCGAATATATTTTAATAGAAAAGAATTTCCTAGTTATTTTTTCAAAAGGATATCTTTTTACTTGTTGCTTAATAATTTTTAAAGTGAGAGTGAGAGTTTATAATGATATATGAGGGTATTTTAGTCAGTTTCTTAAAAATCCAAATTTTATTTCCAAATTCTATTAAAATTGATATAGTTTGGTGTTAACTACAGTAAATCCTTGTGGAATTCGTTTTCTTTAGTTCGAAACAATTTTATTTTAAAATTTAGAATTGAAAATGAATCCCACAAATTTTTGGGTTCGTTTGTTCCAAGAACAGCACCGAATTTACTTTACAAAAAAAAAGCAAATAAACAAGACCAGAAACACACACATTCCAACAGACTCTCGTTCAAAGAGCTTGGTTGCAGGCTTGATAAAAGTCCAAACTACCAAGAGACTGAGTATTAGTCTAAAAATGGAAAAGAACATAATTCAAGTGAAATGACTTACGACAAAAGGAATAAATTTCAAAGGACGAGACCATTTCACAAATAAATATATGGATACTAAAAGCTATGAGCAAGGATAATAATGAGAATATGACCAAATCATGTGCAAATAACATAATAATAGACAGATATTTGGTCAAAATAATGTCAAGTGACAAAACATAAAACCAAACTTTGGCACATTGACAGCTTGATAAAGAGATGCAAAACAATGGTTTTCTTTTTTGCAAAGGAAAAAGGAAAAACAATATGATAGATGCTTTTTTCACTTTAGAGAGAACAAATCCCTAGACATCATTTTATTCTTTGGTATCCAGGAGCTAGAATACTTTGGGATTCCACTCTCTCAACCTGCTTGTCATCATCTGATGGGTCTACTAAGGCTGAACTGAGGGCGTGGGCAGGCAAGCTTAAGAGGAAATCTGTGTCCCTCATCCCTCTAGCCATATTTTGGGTGGTTTAGACACGAAAAAGGAAGAGAAGAGTATTCGAAGGCATTTTTCCACTTTTGAGAGGATTACAGGTGCTGGTCCTGATCTCAGTTAGGGACTTGGTTGAGGGTCCTTTATTGATGTTTTTTCCTTCTAAGTTTATTTTGCCTGGGTGGCAGTCCCTGCATGCCTTGCGAATACAAGTCTTTTTCCCTCAAAAAATCCAAAAAAAAAAAGTAAATGGCAAACAGATGAAATGAGCAGGAAGAAATTTACCTTTCCAATCACGGACCATTTATCATATTGCCATGTTTGACGCACTCTGATGTCAGTCTTGGAGACTTGCAATTCCTTTAAAGATCCAACCAATCTAACCAAATAGTAGTTCCCACCCATATTGCTAATAACAGTAGCAATTTTCCAGGAAAGATCATTAAACACCTCTACCATTTCCCCTGCTGCCCAGTTCTTCACAGCAAAGGCAGGCGGGGAAGGCCTTATTATCTTCCTTGGTACTCTGTCCACAGCTGCCTCATTCATTGAACCGGGGGGACAATCATATCTAATGCTGTAAGTACGCCCATTACCAGAGACAATTTCAGCACACCTCCATGAAGGCACGTCTTTGTTGATGAATATCTCAACTTTACTCCCTCTCTTAAATCTCATGATGTAAGTTAGTACAAACGCAATTCAAAGAACCTGCAACAGTCAATGACTTCAATCTAACTAATAGATTCATGCTACTCTTTTGATTAAAAAAAACTAACAGATTCATGCTACAAACTTAACAAGTAGTTTAAGCATTAACAATCCAACCCAATCTCCATATTTCAGAATTTATAAATGCGTGAGACTGACAAAGATCACGAGTTCATCATCTTAAAATATATAGTAAAACAGACGTTACTGGTCAGTAAGAAGCGCCACTAACATTGTGAAATTGCAATCTTGCGAACAAATTTAACGAAAGATATATTTTATCAAGGGAATTTAGTCCTCTGCATAAATATATTTATTCAATTTACTACCAGGGAAAGACCCAAAAAGAAAGAAACAAAAATTATATAATCTCAAAACAGAATTCTCCTCAATAACATAAAAGTAACCGAGTAACCCCTCAAAAGATTAGATCACTGCAATGTATTAATAAAAAGACACTGAAAAAAAAAAAAAATGAAAATAATAAAATAATTAATCAAGATTAGATTTAACGAATCAAACTTGATATTGCCAATCATGTCCAAACCCCAATTTCTTCAAAAAGAAATCCAAGTATGAGGTAAATAAATACAATCACAGGAATGAACAGACAACCTTTTGTAGTTTAATCAATGAAAACCTAGAAAACTTGATTGAATAAAACACAAAATACTTTACTGACCTTCCTCAATATTAAGCAAACTTTAAAGGCGTTGAGACTTCGCTTTTTTCTCTGTATTTTTCTGTATTGTTTCGTCCGAGAGGTTGAAGGAAATTGGAAATTAGGGTTTGCAAGGATGAAAAATACAGGATTATCAGATACAGAATGAATATATAAATTTTTAATTTAATTTAATTTAATTATATCCTTTCTTTTTATACGTGGGAATTAAGTTTATTCTCAACCAGAAACGGGGAGGTGCATAGTCCGCATCCCCCTTGGACTTTGAATAGGAAATTAATTACATTTTTTTTTTCTTCCAATAAAAACTAATTAGATTTTTTTAATCATAATTTAGTTTCTTAATTTATCTTCTTAATAATATAATTATATTTTCCATTTTATATTTGATATAAATTAAAAATCATAATTTAATTTTGGAAAACATTTTTATTAAGAATTATCAAGTGAGTAAAAAATAAAAATTATATATTATAAAGTTGATTTTAACTTAAAAGTTTAAAATTCATAAATGATCATATCTAACAATAAAATTTAAAAATTTATATCGTGTATATTCTTATATAAATTTAGGTCGTACAAATTTAATTCACGAATTATATTTATTATCTATATCATATTTTTTACCAATGTATTATTAAATAATTTTGTTGAGTTTTAATCAATTGTTTAGGATTAATGCAGTTTTTATTGTGTATAAAAAATTATCAATTTAATTAAATTTATTTAAAAGTGATATATTAAAATTAAATATATATTAAATTTTTAATACATTAAATAAAATATGAGTCTTTTTATATACAGATATTAAAAGTGTTATTTTTAATTTTATAATTAGTTAAATTAAAAATAATAAAAAAATGTAAATAAACCATTATAGTTTTTAAATTACACGTAGAATTTTTTTTATTATGTCATCTCATCATTAGAAAAGAGAGAATGTGATAACTTTAAAGAACCACGTATTAATTTGAAAGATCTACCGCAGAACGTATAAATTTCTTATACTATGAATTTAAATATATTTATATTTTATATTTAATTTCTTTAATTTGATATGAGCACGATTATTTATATTCAAATCTATTTTATGAAATCTTATTAAGAATTTGAGAGATTTAATTATAAACAGATAATTTTTATAATTATTAGTTATACTCTTGACATCACTATAGTTTTCCTATATTCTATTCCATCTAATTAAAATTTATATTTAAATAATTAAAACTGTTTAATGAAAAACCTTATAATAAAAAACATACGATGATAAGTTCTGGCTTTCTAATTAAAAAATTATAAAAAAATTAAAATTATCTAACTAAAAATTTTAGTGGTATTAAAATTGACATAATTAAAAATTAGAACAAAATCAAAATGGATGTGTTACAATAGTATCTATCACTTTAAACTAAATCTTATTAATTATCTAATTCTAAAATTATAATTGTCAAACTAAAAATTTTACTTAAAACTAAAATTATATAACTAAAAAAATGTATTTAATTTCTAAATTTAAAATATTATATTTTAATTAAAATTGTTATAACTGAAACAATTAAAAAATTGTAATGAAATTAATTGATGTAACTACATTATACTAAAATTTAAACTCATGTAATTAAAAATTTTATTATATACTTAATTAAAAAAATTATACAAACAGTATAATTAAAAATAACACGTCATAATTATATCAATAAAAAATTTTACACAAATTAAAATTTTTACGACCAGAAATTTTAGATTGCACTCAATATCACAATTGTATTTTAAGTAAAATTCTGAAAAACTGAAAATTGTCTAATTAAAGTTTAGTTTAAAATTATATTAATAAATGTCTAAGTAAAATTATTTACCGAAATTAAATATCTATACAAATTTTAAATTATAGTAGATGTCAACTAAAAATTATATTAAATTTTAAAAATTTTATTTTAAAGCTTTATTTAATTTTTAATAATTAGACT